TATATATACTGACAACTAAAAACGAAAAAGCATAGATACAAATAACTATAGAATAACTTGATATTAAAGAGAACGAATCTAATCCTTATATATCTATGTATATCTATATTTTTTCGTTTTTAGATATCATCATATAAAGCATGTAGGATAAAGCCAGACAGTTTTCTTCACCTAGTGTTAACTTTATACTTTTGTGTCAACCTGATCGCCTTATTAAAGAGAAATGACGGCAACGGGATCGGACAGTGTGTTCTGATGAGATCAGCGAACGAATCTCTTCAACTTACACTTTTTCGCGAAATGAAGCTCTGCATAATAATGTAATCTCAAGAGATTCATCGGAATCCAACTACTCTTCGTATCTACAAGTCATCAAAGCTAGGGCGAGGGAGTATTCCGATACACCGGAAGATCACAAACTGGATAGCATAAAAAACGAACTCTGATTAGCAGTCCCAGGCTATCCCGTTCGCCAAGACGGGGCGTGAGGACGCAGTTGCTGGGTTTGAGTCCGGGCGGGGTCTCGGATGAGCACGGCAGAGGCATCTTTCCGGTTGAAGAGAAAGAGAGAGAGAGCAGTCTTAACAGAGGAGTTGGCATGATGTTTTGTGCGTCAATCCATCCTCGAAACAAGTTTGTATCCGTACGTTCTTGTTGCCCGACGAGTGTGATAGAATCGGTCTGCCTAAGTGAAGAAAAAAAACGCGTAGGCCTAAAATTCACGCTACAGATAAATGAGAACATCAATTATGCAAACGATGCGTACTTAATTTAGACACTTGCCTGACCTTTAGATCTTGATATCTCATTTGGCGCTCCTAGCAACGGAGTTCGAGGAGCAGATCGTGAAGATGACAGCGGCCAGATCGAGAAGCCGCCAGCATCATTCGGATCGACAATGCTGACCTACAGCCACGCGCTGATGGCCTACTTTTACCAACTCCTCAAAGGCGCTTTCAGGCTCTACACTGCACGACTGGCTCAATCAAAGGAACCGGTTGCTAGCCGAATGGAGTTGTCGAGGCTAAACTGTCAATTTACCCATTGTTGGCGTTGTTGTTGTTGTTGTTGTTACCATGACGTCTAAACGAAACATGTGAAGGCGGACTTTTGACTGACTTAGTTCAATCGCAAGGCACTGATCAGGCATTGGCAACTAGAGTTTGGGCTGGCCGAGGTTTTGGACAGAGTTCACTTGAAATTTAGGAAACGGCAGAATTGGATCCCGTCTTGTGGGAACGTCGATTCATTTCCTACCTTACTCCTCCACTCCACCACTCCGCTCATTTTCGCCTCGCCTCCAAACGCCGTCTCCAGTGACTTCGCCCTTCCCGACCATATTCTTCCTAGATTGCCCAATCCCTTCGGCATCTCTTTTGTTTCCGGAAGTGGCTACAATATGAGCAGCGATATAAGTAGTATATTGTGAGGTGAAGTTGGTATAGTCACGGGTAGATATTGCGCCTAAACGTGCCAAACGTATTATAGAAATTAAGAATAAGCCTCACTTGTGTTGTCATGCCGACTAGGTTGCTGATGTTGCTGATTGTCGAATAGGGAAGGCTCCAATCACATCCACAACTTGACCTCACTTTAACTCTGCTTTCGCAACTTTTCCATGCTCTCAGATAAAACTTGAAGTACACCCTCAAGCTGCAGCCCCTGCCTGGGTTGCCATTTTCTATTGCAATGACATAAAAGTATATGCTAAGAAAATTTGGGTTTCGAGAGGTTTTTGGTGTACAATTGTTGTTGAGCTCAATTCCTTTTCGAGTAAATGTGTTTGGTGAAGAGATTCGAAAGTCCATCCCACTAGAAGAAGAAGCAGCAGCTGTCGATTTGCTCCATTGTGGCACATTCTTGCTGACGCTGTTGCCGAGGCAATCTCCTTTGACAGACATCACAAGAGCTGGGTACAATTCTTACCAACATATTCAAGCTAACGAGTCAAGAAAACTCCCACATTCGGAATGGAATTTAGCTCAACCAAGAGTTTCATCGATACCCAATTTTTCTCCGCTTATAATTGTTGATCTAACTTACAGTTCGAATGGAGATTTTTGGTGAAAAGATTCGGAGCTTAGTCCAACCAGAAGACGACGACTGATTCTTCTTGACCACCTGTCGACTGGCCTTAATGGAACGTTCTTGTTGACCTTTGTCCTTTGATTCCCTTATAAACGTACTAAGCTTTCATCCGTCGTATGATGGACATAATCAGAGCTTGAATATGGTTTTAAAAATGATACTTTGTTCTGAGGATGTCCGTCATATGACATAGAAAAACTTATTTTTCGGATGTAAGTAGAGTTTCGAGACTGCCAGTAAATCAGTAATATGAGAGGTATTCACCCTAATTTGTTTAAGGTGATGAAACGAAATCCTCAGCTCTACTCATATCATTATGGGAAAATAGGGTGAATACACCTCTCGAAACTTTACTTACATACGAAAAATAAGTAACGAAGTCGATTGTTATAACAGATGTGCGTTGGCTTCATCGACAATCCCACAAAAGAATGTGATATGGGAAAAAGGGCCTTGCCTTCCTCGAAATTCACATCTGCCCTGTGACCCAAGGGTACTCGTGGCAATGGGGCCGAGTGGTTAACGTGTCAAGCTCCCATTCTGCACTGTCACGGTTCGACTCCCGATGCGAAGTCGAAACTGCAGTCTACTTCAGCTTGGATGAGAACAACTTTTTGGAAAGCAAGGCAATGTGAAATTGAATGGAAACATCAGCTCAACTCAGATCATTGTGGGAAAATTCTTCTTCTACCAGTCCTTCATCACCTTTAACGTAATTGGGTGAATACATCTTATATTACCAATTTTAGCACCACACTACAACTCGTCAAAGAGACCAGTGAAGCCGATACTTTGACCAATTTTCCTGGAATGTACCACGTCCACGATCCAACTCTGGAAATGATCATGCATGCTATGGACTCCGGACTACCTGCGCTGCTCTAGGTCCTTCTACAAATAAGGCCAAATTGCGAAGACAAGGTCAAACCACTTTTATACAATGAAAGGAGACTGCGAACATACAAAAAGCTACACAATATTGCAATGTATGCCTATGATTCACAGTTGTAGTTGCATTTTTTCCCACCATGCTACCACTCGGCCTCATAACACCAGTAAATTGCATCTAGCCCTGCCTCCCAAAAGATATTCTCATCCCGACTAAGCTGTATTATATTCTCAACTTCACCTGAGTCTCATCAACATGCCCAACCTTTATTGAAACCGTGTGGTAATATGGTGTATACAAACACTGCACTGGACAGATTCGATTCCTGTAGGGATGCGGATGAGACCCAGGCGAGAGCAAAACCTCAGTCCAACCTGGTGAAACAGCCCTTTGAGAGGCAAGGCTAAATTTGACTATCAGTCCTTTTCCATGTTGAGTAGTCTAGGGTGAAAGCAGTTCTTATTGAAAGTGTATGCGTTTGGTGTATTTTGGCTAAATGCATAGAATAGTCTCAAACGTAGAATTAGGCTATGCCTGCTACTGAAAGCAAGATTGAGAAATCCTTCGAAGTGGTCAGCTTATGGAATTCATTAAATCCCTCAGTTCTGGTGGATAATTGAGCAACAACTAATGATATGAAATGTATTCACCCTATTTCGTCTAAGGTGATGAAGAACTGGTTCGACTCCCGCTGAGGGTGTTGATAAGGCCGATTCGAGGGTGAATACATCTCATACTACTGATTTACTGGTAGTCTCGAAACTCTACTCCAATACGAAAAAAAGAACTAATGCTGCCTAATAAATCAAATAAAGGATAAAATAGGCTGCTGGGCTATTCAAGTAGTCTTTTTGGTTGTGCTCCTGTTACTAGCCACATTTGCCTTGCAATTGTGTTGAACCAAAAAGGGCACATCAGTTCAACCGGACGTGTGTCAAGCACTGAGCAATTGGAATGATGCATGAAAATGTCGTTAAAACTTGATGCACTAGGATGGGTGTGATAGTGTCTTCAAACCACTTGAAGCTGCCACTATATGGTTCCCATCCTGAGCACACACCTCCTCGTGCGCAAGTTTCTGGCTTGAATAGGACAAATCATTTGATACCTAAAAATGCAGAAGGTTTAAGCACACATGCAGCAGGAGGGAAGAGGTCGGTCATCTTGAAGTAGTTGTAAGACAGTATTCTGCTTTCATGATATCTGCCAAGTGAAAGGAAAGACAAAAACCTAAAACGTCATCGAAGCCGAAGATGGTTGTCTCTGTGGCTGAGTCAACCATATACTTCCTCGTGAGATTAACCCATAAGACACACACACACACACAAACACACACACACACACACACACTCGCACTCCCTCTCGAAACGATGGAAATGAGCTTAGTAAGAAGTACTTTATTAGCTTCCAATCTGTTGGTGATCTGCTATTGAAAATCGCAGTCCATGGACTCATCGTGTGGAGCCTGAGTTGCCGAAATTCGCGAAGTGAATAGACAATCGTAGCGATTGCAGTGATGCTTTGAAACTATCCGACATTTTGGAAGGCAAGACTTAGTTATATTGAAGAACATGGCAAAGCAGACTCATTTTGTGATTGGAAAACTTCACACTCAGTCCCTAAATCACCTTAATTGATCTATGTCTTATGAGCCGTCGGATTGTTCTGGTTGTAGGGAACCGGAGTCTTGATTAGTCAGATGCTTTCCGCATATCCCGGCCCTGTTCGCCCCAACGACTTCCTTATCTCCACTGCTGCATCAACCTATCACATGGACACTGTCGGCTGTGTGGTTCTGGCTCGATGTGGCTGTTCAAACTTCAACAAATGACTGAGGCTCCACCAGGAGCCGATGCTGGATTACAGGTCGGCTTGGATGCGAGTTGATTGTCGTCAAGTAAACACTATTTGACCCATGGTTTGTTGAGAAGAATTGTTGGGTTTCGAGGAATCTCTTGTTTCGTAATTGTTGCGCTTACGTCCATTTAGAGTGAAAATGTTTGGTGAAAAGATTCGAAGATTGGTTCCATCAGAAGAGGACTGCGGATTCCTCTTGACCAGCCGTCGATTGGCTTTACTGGAACATTCTTGCTGACACTGTTTCCAAAGCGATCTACATCGATTCCGGGGAGAAGCTGCTAAGCTTTCGTCCGTCATATAACAACTCGAGAAAACTTGAATAGCTTGAATTTGGTCGGGACGATGATACCTTACTCTGATGATGTTCGTCACATGACGTACGAAAGGTTAGAACCTTTTCACCGGAATCGAAGAAGATTGCTTCGGAAATTTTGAGT